TTTTTTTGAGACAGTCTTGCTGTGTAGTTCAGGCTGGCCTTGAACTCACTTTGTTGCCCAGGCTGGCCTCAAACTCATAGCAATCCACCTGCCTCAGCCTCCTGAGTGCTGGAATTACAGGCATGCACCACTACATTTAGGTTTTTTGTTTTTTTAGACAGGGTCTCACTAAATTGCCCAGGCAGGGCTTAACCTTGTAATCCTGCCTTAGCCTCCGGACCAGCTGAGATTAGAGGCATGCGCCTCATGCCTAGCTTTCTGATCAATTTTTTTTTTCTTGTTTTGTTTTTCTTCCAGTACCAGGAATCGAACTCACGACCTTGCGCTTGCCAGGCAGGTGCTTTGCCACTGAGCTAAATCCCCAGCCCCCTGATCAATTTCTTTAGCACTTTAGAAAATAATGCTATCAATACTGAAAATGTCATATTTATAAATTCTATTTGGAGTATATATTTACTATCAACCTGCAAACTTCTTTTGTTTATGCAAATATAAAGTGGCCACTAACACTTTGGGTCACAATGTTTTTTTTTTTTTTTCTGTATTTAAGATTGAGCACACTTGCAGTGACAGAGTCATTGCTTCAAAGGGAGTAACTCTTTGATGCAATGGACACAGGGACAAAAGGGTCCGTTCCATGCCCACCTGCTGACCCATTTCCAGGTGGCCCTGACTAATCACATTCCTCCAGCACTACCACAGCCTCAGATGAGAAAACTGCCATCACCTTGCTGTGGTTTTGATTTGCATTTACTTAATTACTCAGGCTAAATAATTCTCAGCAAGTCTATTAGCCAAGTTAGTTTCCTCTCTAGCGACTTGTCTTTCACCCATTTTATTGCTAGGGTCCAGAATTTTTCTGACCAATTTCTTTTCTTTCCTCCCCTTCTTTTATTTTTTCCTCCAGCACTGGGGTTTGAACTCAGGGTCTTCACACTAAGCTATATCCCCATCTTTTTTATTTTTATTTTGAGACAGAGTCTTGATAAGCCACTAAATTGCCCAAGCTGGGTTCAAATTTGTACTCTTCCTGCCTCAGCCTCCTGATTAGCTGGGATTAGAGGAATGACACTATGCTCAGCTTTCTGACCAATTTCTGTAGCACTTTAAACAATAATGGTATCCATATTTGGCCGTATTTCTTACATATATTTTTCCTATTGTCTTTTTACTTGTAACCAATGTTGCTTGTATTTTTTAAACTTACATATAGATCACAGTTGTGATTTTTTTTTTTTTTTTCTTTTTAGGCAGGGTCTACATAGTCCACTGTGTAGCCCAGGCTAGCTTCAAACTTGTGGCAATCCTGCTTCCGCCTCCTAAGTGCTAGGATTACAGGTGTGGTTCACCATGCCCAGCCTGGCTCATTCATTTCTTTGTGATGTCTACTGTGCCTTCTAACCTTAGAAAACCCTCTTCCAGCCAGTTATGTCCGGTTCTACTAATTTCTAGGTGTGATGTGACTGGAATCCTTCCAGGTCCTCCCTTATTTGCCTGGTGGGTAGTGGAAGGCCCAGCCACCCCTTTGCTGCCTTGGTCAGTAGGCCCAACAGTGGTGGTGAAGATTGCTGAAGACTTGGCTCTTGGGTTGCTAGGAAGTCCGCTTTTCCCTGGGATCCTCACTTTCAGTTGCTTGCTTGATTTTAACAAAAACTGGCTTTAAAAGGGGAAGAGGAAGGGCATAATGGTGCACGGCTATAATCCCAGCACTCGGGAGGCCAAGGCAAAAGGATCATCAAGAGTTGAAGGCCAGCCTGAGCTACATAGTAAGATTGAGGCCAGACTGAACTACACAACAAGACCCTGTCTTTGAGTTAAAATAAGTAAACAAATAAATAAGTAAACAGGGAAGGAAGACAGGGACACCTGAGACAAGGGCCCAAGAGAAATCCTTAGTCTTAGAGCAGAGCATTTGAAACCGCCTCTGAGATGAGGGAAATTGATGGTTGGGTACCTGGAGAAGTGAGGCCACCCACCCGGGCATTCTGAAACTTTCCAGTGTAAACTAGGTCCTCTTCCCCACTAAGTGACTCCTTGTCCCCATGAGTCTTCTGCTAACTGCTGTATTCCCCATACCTAGTAGTCCTGGGCACCAACCAGTATGACCCCAGAATATTTGTTGAGTAAATGAATGAGTGTGGAGTCCTCCTGCCTGCCATCAAGGACAGCCCAGCATCTGTGCCACCAGGGGCTCAGGGATGGGGGAAGAACGGGCAGACAGAAGGTGAAGACAGACCAGCACCCAGGGAGTGTGGTGATATAGCTTCTGGTGCAGGCAATTGTGAAGTGCAGGGAGACCCTGGGGCTGGCAGGGTACAAGACCAGTAGGGAAACTGAGGCAGTCTCCTGTTAGGCCTACTGTTTGCCACCCCCCATGCTGCAGTCAGTGGGAGTAGCCACCCCAACCCTAACTCCAGCTCTGACATCAGCCCCACGCCCCAAATACTTTCCTCCCGCCGTGGCTGCATGTCCCAAAGCCCAGGGAGTGCCCAGGGCAGACAGGACTGCCACTGGGCTGGTCATCAGCCACCTTCCCAGAACCAGCTTGCACCCCACCCACCCAGCCTACTGCTGGGTTCACTTCCTGGGAGGAGTGCGGTAAGGGGCAATGGTCAGCCCAGGTCCCAAGTCTCCCTGCCCTGCTCCTCACTGTTCCCCTGACCTTGCCCTCCTATCAGGGTGTAAGTTCTGAATGACTCTAGATCACGGAAGCCGTGTACACAGTCAGTTCTCAATAAATGTTATGTGAACAAATTAATAAACGAAGCAGGCAGTGTCTCTTGGGTAGACCTGGCCAGCTCATGTGGGGCCTGTGGTCAGCTGAGAGGTGTCTGGGCCTGCTAGGGTGTATCTGTGGTCAGCTCATGGTGGGGAACTCCAGGCCACAAGCCCCTGGATGGGGCAGGAGTGTTGGGGTAAGGGGTCTGGCCTGTGGGGTTCAGGACCAGGTCATAGAGTTGGGGTTCAGGAAGCCTCCTTCCTGCTGGAGCAGAACTGGGTGGAGCAGGCCAACAGGTCGGGTGGCATACCCCAGCCAACACTCACCTCCAACATAAAACGCCACTTCATGGAGCCCAGTGCCTTACAAGGGCCAGGAGCTCCCTCCACCACCAACAACCCTGGCCCAGCTTTGCCAGCCTGAGGACATGAGGCGATACCTGGCCCCCACACCCCTCTTGCTGCTCCTGCTCTTCCTACTGCTGAGGCTTGGTGAGTTTCAGAGTCCCTGGCCTCCCTGGAGGGTGTCTTCTCCCTGCCAGGAGTTCCAGCTGGGCCACCACTTCCTACCCCAGTGATGGAGGCCCCAGGCAGGCAGGCACACTCCAGATGTTTCACCTGGGAGTCTTGAGGCAGGCTTAGGTCAGAGTGGACCCCATGGCAGCAACCTGGTAGGGGCCTTAACCCACATTCCCAGGCATCCATAGTGTACCTGGCTCTGGACTTGAGGCTCCCCGACTCACCAGATGAAGAGTACCATGGGTGCAGGATTTGAACTTGGGCCTGCTGGGCTCAAGTCCACAGACCACCATAGCTGATCCAGAAGTGGGACTGAGCAAGGGCTGCCACCTAAGCCTACAACCCTTGGAAGCAGGGTGGCGTTCAGTGAACAGCTGGGTGGCACAAGGGGTATAAGCTGGAGTCCCACTGCCCTATGGATATACAAGCAGAGAACGTACCGCCATCCATGGCCAGGGTCAGCAGGGTCCATCCAGCGCCCCACCTGCCGGGCCCCTCCCTGCCAGGGAAACTCTTCCACATTCCTAAGCCACCCAGGCCAGCCCACCAGCCACACTTCCCTGTCCTCAGGTTACCTCCCAGTGCCAGGCCAGGTCACCCCAGGCTACAGCTCAGCCAGCGCTCCAGGTTCTTCATTCTTGGAAGGACACTAGGGTGCCCCTCTATGGGGAGGCCCAGTCTCCCCAGTCTCATTGACCAGCCTCCCCAGACAGACCTCCTGCAGGCAGATAACAGCGTCCCCTAAGCGAGCCCACTTCCACAGGGTGTAACACTTCAATTATTCCAGCAGGCTGAGCAATCAAGGTCATTGCCAGAGTGGGCACTGCAGCTGCATTCGGCTGAATCCCAGGTGCTGTCCTCACCAGCTCGTGGGCCCAGCACCCCAAGGGTTCTCCAGACCGGCTCCAGGGATACCAGGAGTCCTGGGCCCAGGGTGGGGATCTGACACCCTGATTGTGCTCTCCAGCCTGACAGGGTGCCCATCCACAAAAGCCTAGCTGTCCTGCTCAGTTCTCCACAGTAGGGATCCCAGACACAGGCTCTGCCTTCCTGGGGCTCTTGGGACTGAGGCCAGGGGTGAGATGTGATGCCCAGTGCAAGGACAAAGAGCTCAAGTGAGGGACTGAGGCTTCCAAGACGGACAATAGAAGCAGGGAGAGCTTCCCGGAGGAGGTAGGACTTTGCTGAAGCCTTGATCTGGATTAGAACCTGGAGAGGCCAAGAGGTTCAGCCTAAGTGAGAAGCAGCTGAACTGTAGTGGGGAAGATGGACATGCATATGGGGGAGGGGCTGCTGTGAGTAGTCTGAGGCAGGGAACCCCAAAAGGAGGGACAGAGATGCCTAAAGTATGTTAGTGTCAATGAGAATAAAGGGTGGGTGGGCTGGAAGCAGCATCTGCAAACAGAAGCCTTAGGAAGGCCGTAGGGTCAGTGTCAAGTAATGTTATACTAAGATGCTAGGATAACCCTCCTGTGGTGTTTTGTTTTGTTTTGTTTTGGTCTTTTTGAGACAGGGTCTCGCTATGCAGTTCAGGCTGGCCTTGAGCTCACCCTGTAGCCCAGGCTGGTCTCGAAGTTGCAACAATCCTCCTGCCTCAGCCTCCTGGGTGCTGGGATTACAGGCGTGCACCACGCTCAGCATCCTATGGCATTTAAAGGCCACACTATGAACACAAGTTGCCTGCTTCTTGTTGCCCACCTGGGCCAGCACTGCACTTGACCCCCAATCTGCTTGACTTCCCTACTTTGAGAAGCAGCCAGGCCTGCTGATCCTTCTCAGGTTCCTCTTGGTGCCCTGTCCAGCACACACCTCCCTGTCCTCCACTGGCACTGAGGACTAGAGATCAGGAGCCTGACAGGAAGAATGAAGGACCGTAACACCTCCAGGATCCTCAGGCACCCTAAGCCACACCTGGCTCACTGAGGACACTTCCTATTCCCTGCAGCCCATCAGCACGCTAAGACCGGTTACCTTTTCTGGCCCCACACTCCGGGTTCCTCAAGTGTATGGGGCAAAGGGAGGCCTGGCTGTCCTCTCCAGCTCTGTTGGACCCACCACAAGGAACAGGTGACAGGAAGGGTGGGGCAGAGAAGTCTCTCTTGAAGGGGTCCCCTGCCTGGGCTCCAAGCCTGCAGTGGAGCCTCTGGGGCTGCAGTGAAGGTTGAGCAGCAGGTTTGAGGACAGCGGGGTGTCTTGGCCCGAGATGGCTCAGTTTTGGGGAATGTGGAGTTCTGGGACTCTGGCACTGGCCTCTCCTGGTCAGTTCCACGTGTGGCCTGTTTATCCCTTTCCAAATAAGCTTGCACACAGGGCAGGCCTGAGAGAAACTGAGGGCTCCTTGCCTCTCCTCCCAGATGCCTTGGTGACTGTGCCTCCTGAGTTTCCAGAGGCAGGGAGATGACGCAGGGAGAGCAGGGTGTTGACCAGGCAGGTGAGTGAAGAGTGGAATGGACCTGGGCTTTGGCAAAGTAGGCTGATGACCCCTTTTCTTCACTTCCAGGGACTCAAGCGGCCAAGGCACCAGCAGGTAAGTGGGTGTGCCTGAGCTGTAAGATGGCAGAGGCATCACACATGGAACAAGGTCCAGAAGGGAAGTACGGGGCATCAGGGAACCTCAGTCAGAGGTTCTCTGGTTGCAGGAGAGCTATCCCTCAGGGCTACCTATTTTGTGACAGGCAAACACACCAGCTGTCCTTCCAGGAAGTGTGTGTTGGGCCCAGGGATGAGGCCTTTCCACTTACTGCCTCAATTCCCCTATGGCACCTCTTCCCAGTCAAGGAACTGAGGCTCATGGGGTAGGGATACAGAGGGTCTTACTCCCTAGGTTCCTGAGCAGGTCAAGGGCCAGGAAGGCCAGAAATTAGGTATAAAGTAGAAGCTGACATATGGGATTAGGGCTGGAGTCAAAACCTTGGAATCAGCTCCCAGTAATTCCACCATGTTCCTCCAGTCTGCGGGCACCGGAGGATGCTGAACCGGATGGTGGGCGGGCAGGATGCCATGGAGGGCGAATGGCCCTGGCAAGTTAGTATCCAGCGCAATGGAAGCCACTCCTGTGGGGGCAGCCTCATCACAAAAAAGTGGGTGCTCACCGCAGCGCACTGCTTCTCCAAGTGAGTGAGTCTAGTACCCTGTGTGTCTACCCCGTGACTGCCCCACCCAGCAGGGACAAAACAAGGCCTGGTGCTCAGCTAGTTTAACACCAAGAACAGCACCCAATCTGCTACAGATCCACCTGCCTCTGTGGGTCCTGGAAGCCTGGTCCTATACCTGCCTGCTTTCCCAGCTACAGGTTTCCTCTAAGGCCCAAGCCTAGAACTAATTTAACTTGCAGCTGCAATTGCTGCCCCAGCCCTGGCTCGCACCAGCTGACTTGCCAATAAGGCACTGTCCTCATAATCCCCAAAAAAGTGGCCAGCCCCTCAGCCCTGACCACTGTGTTATAAGCCACCTGACCCCAGACCTCTGGGGTTCCCATACTTCTCATCTTTCACCTCACTGCAGTTCTGTGATTCTCCTAAAAACCTGCACCTTCTACTCAACACCCTGAGTGGTGGCTGCCCCAGCTCCAGAGCCGGGCTGGGCCCTATAGTATCTGTGGGTGGCTATCTCCTTTTGCTTTCAAAGTAGGCATTTCTGGTAAGAGTCACTGTCCCCACCTTACAGACAAGGAAACTTTATAGAAGACTTGTTAGGTAACTTGTCCAAGGTTACCTGGTGGCCCAGGACAAAGCTGGAGATTAAAGGTGAGTGATCTCACTACAGCTTCTACACCCTGACCTTGCAGAATGCCCCTCTGAAGATGATGGTTTTGAACATGACATGCAGAGATCCATCAGGAAATGGAGCAGGCCAGAGGCACTCAACAGCCCCCCTGCCCTTCATCCCCTTCTCAAGAGGGCACAGCCCACACTAGGCCTCTGTTCTCTCCCTTCAGCACCTCTGACACTTCCCTGTACCGGGTGCTGCTGGGGGCACGGCAACTGCTGCAGCCAGGGGCACATTCCATCTATGCCCGTGTGAAACAAGTGGAGAGCAACCCCCTGTACCAGGGCATGGCCTCCAGTGCAGATGTGGCCCTGGTAGAGCTGGAGACACCGGTGACCTTCACCAACTACATCCTCCCTGTGTGCATGCCTGACCCTTCAGTCATTTTTGGGAAGGACATGAACTGTTGGGTTACTGGCTGGGGCAGCCCCAGTGAGCAAGGTAAGGGGGCAGAGGCTAGGGAGAAAGGGGGATGGGCCTGGAAAAGGTCCAGGGGAGTCTGAGGGCTACTCTGAACCAACCAACTTTTTCTGTTGATACTGTTAGATGAGATCTCTACTCGAAACAGGTAGGGTGGGGATGGGAAAGGACAGCTGCCCTTGAGGGCAGAGCCATGAAGACAGAACTTCCAACTTGGGGCTCAGAGGGTGGGAAGGAGCTCAGCCCCATGAGAGATCTAACCACCATGGAGAAGCCTGGGCAGGGACAGACTGCACTGTGGTTCTGAGAACCCAGGGCCCCAGGTCACTGCTGAAGACTGCCCACTGGCCTGCTCACCCCCAGACCGCCTGCCCAACCCTCGGATCCTGCAGAAACTTGCTGTCCCCATCATTGACACACCCAAGTGCAACCTACTCTACAGCACAGATACAGAGTCCGGCTTCCAGCCCAAAGCTATCAAGGATGACATGCTTTGTGCAGGCTTTGCTGAGGGCAAGAAGGACGCCTGCAAGGTAAAGAGGGAGGCAGCAAGACCCTGACCGACCTCCAGGCCCAAGGCAGGGAGGGGTGCAGAGTTCCATCGAGCCAGGAAACTTATTGGGAAAGAGCAGCTTTAGACCCTACCTTGAGTTGGTGCTTGGGTTGGGGCTGGGTAAGCTGTACTTTTGAACCCTTTCCCCTACAGACATGCAGGGAACCTGGGGTACCCTAGTAAGGAAAAGAGGGACCAAGGGTGGAGGGAAGGAGAGGCTAAGGGGCTGGAGCCCATGTCCACTATCCTAGGACTTGGTGGCACTGGGTAGGCTCTTAGGGCCTCTGCTTACCCTACAGGGTGACTCCGGGGGCCCCCTGGTGTGCTTCGTGAACCAGGCATGGATGCAAGCTGGTGTCATCAGCTGGGGTGAGGGCTGTGCCCGCCGGAACCGCCCTGGTGTCTATATCCGGGTCACGTCACACCATGATTGGATCCACCGTATCATCCCTGAGCTGAAGTTCCAGTCAGGCAGGAAGAGGTGGCCGCTAGTCAGACCCCTGTGACCATCAGCACCTTAGTGGGAGTTTAGCACCATGCCTGGCTGTCCATGTGGCTCTGCTGGCCCTTGGGGTGCTGCTTGCTGTCCTCTAAGTCCACCCCACCGGTCCACATGCTGCCCATGGTGTACATGTGTAAATAGCTCTCTATCTTCTATCTCAAATGCCCAAATATTTTTATTTATGTTTCCTTTCAATAAAATCAGTGCCAAACTGTCCAGGTCAAAAATCCTTAAAGAGTATGGGGCGGGGGGAGTTGATACATGGAGAAGACTCAGAGGACTTAGCTCCTGATGGGATAGGACACTGCAGGCACACCGCCTAGGATGTCCCTGGGTCCCTATAACACCTTCCCAGACTTCCTCACAGGAGACTACCCTGACGCCACTTTATGCCTCAAGTTTTCCTACTTGATCCTCTGCTAAGGGCTGTCCTGGCCAGCACTGTGGACAGGGACAGACACTGGCAGAAAGTTGATCAAAGATAGCCAGTGCCACTGCAGGAGCTATGCCAGGATAAGGGAATAGGAGGGCACTCAGGAAGGGGAGGAGAGAGGTGTCCTAAGGGAACCATGGCCTCCACCCCCTAGTCTTCCTCCAGAATCCGCCCACCAGCCTTCTCTAAATAATGCCATGTCACCCTGGGGCATACTTCCAGGCTGTTTTCTGCCCCTCCACTCCACTGTTCAGTCTTCCTCCAGGACCAGCCCAGGCCTGTTTTCTGTTCTCCCCTTGACCCCAGGGTCCCTATAGTCCCATCCCTTAGCCCTGATCTCCCCACTCAAAGTCTGAAGCTACCAGGAGGGGTAGACATGTACACCTGTGCACAGCCACAGCCATACCACACACTCGTGTGCACACAACGGCACTGCCTACCTCCCTAGAGCTGAGAAGCAGGCACTGTTATATATGAATCTGATGACCACTTAGCAAGCACCTGCTCTGGTCCAGCCTGGGACAAAACATCAGAAATCTCCCTGGGCTCCACTTTGCCTGAGCTCAGCTGCCACTGCCTACTAGGCACTTGGTGACATCAGTGGATGGGCCATATGCTGAGTTCTTGCTCCAGACCAGGTTGGGTCTCTGGTCAGGAGGGATTACTCATCTGTCCTATAAGAGGCAGGTAACCTAGCACCCAGACAACAGGGCAGGGCAGGCTGTGGGGTCCCCGAGACAGGCCCAGATGACTGGGCACTGCTGTGGGATGTGTGTGGAGTCCTGGCCCGGGTAGGGTGAAGGAGGTTAGAGGAGGCAGAGTCACACAACCTACCTGCACCCCTGTGATCTGCTGGCTAACCCCAGGGAAGGGATTCCACAGGCAGCTGTCCACAGGAGGCAGCGAAAACTCTCCACAGAACCAGGAGTTGAAAAGGAAACAAGTTTATTCCATGCAATTCACAGCTTATACCAAGCTCAGTATTGTGAGAAGATTGTAGAAGAGAAACACCCAGGTTGCCGCAGGCTCCCTTCTGCACCCTGGGGTCAGGGCACAACTCAGATATAACTCTCCACACGTCTGCCAAGCAGTTACCAGTGATCTGCCATCAGAGCTGCCAGCTGTAGGAAGAACACTGAAGGGAGCTGCTGGCATAGGCCACGGCAGCCAGGGGTGGTCCTTCCTCCAGGCAGGACCACTGTGGAAGGCCACCTCAACCAGCCTCAGTGGGAGCACGTGATACCAGAACAGCCACACGTGTGCTGTCCCACATCCATGAACGCACATACACAAGCACACGTCACACACACACACAACTGCATAGGCACCACAATTAGCCTATGAAGCCACAGGAAGAAAAATGGCCATCGTGGGCCCCTGCTGGCCTCAAGACCCCAGGTGAGAGTCAGCCCCAGGCCCAGTAGCATGTGTGGGGACAGATGATCTGAGAGCAAAATGACCCTGCCAGACGTAACCTTTGATGCTCCAAAGGTGGGCAGGTAAGAGGTGCGGAAGGCAAAAGCCAAGGGAAAACCCCCAATGCCAGGAATCCCACACCTGCCCCCAGGTGGCAGCACTGGGGCTTTTATCCCCATGGCAGGCTTCGGGTACTAGCCAACTAGAGGTGTGGTTCTTGTCCCATGCAGTCCTGGAAGGCTCTAGGAATGAACCAGAAGGCCAGCCACCAAGGATCCACACATCCCAACCCTGCCTCTCCTGTCTCTCTGCTGGATTTTATTGAGACAGGGTCTCACTATGTAGTTAGGTCAGCCTTGAACTCACCATGTAGCCCAGGCTGGCCTCAAACTCACAGCGATCCTCCTGCCTCAGCCTCCTGAGTGCTGGGATTACAGGCATGCGCCACCATGCCCAGCTCTGCTGACTTCTGAGGGCCCGAGCTGGGGCCCTTGGCGCTCTTTAGACACCGCATGGCAGACTGTCTGCTGAGGGGACAGGGTGCCTTTTCTGCCAAGGATGCTGGCCTGTCTCCTATGTGGCCTTCAGCTCTGATGGGACATGCTCTGGTCTCTGACAGGCACACTACCACACAGAGGCCCTCCTGGGCACCCAGTGCTGTGTCCAGCCAAGAGGCCAGAGGGCACATCCAGGTCCTAGCCTCCACCAGAAAACCTCTTAAGGCAGAATTTAAACTCCTCCCTCATGCGCACCCTCATTCAGGACACCCAAAAGCCCAGACCCTGTCCCCATACAAGTAGCCCCTACCCCACACCTCACACTGGGCAGGCAGGTTAGTCCATGCCACGGCCCTGGTTGGGTTGGACATGTGCCCGGAAATAGGACTGACTGGTAGCAGAGACAAAGAGAGCCGAACCCTTCAGGGCACACTGGGTTCCTCAACTACACCCAGCCCTGCTGGACTTGTGAAGCTGAAACCAGAGTCCTACAGGGGGTACCCTGGCTTGAGCAACTCAACGGTGGTTCCAGCTGCAGCTTCTCCATGTATTTTAAGACACTAACAGCTGCTGGGCTCATTCATAAATACACAGTTTTATTTGCTAATATCAGGGGAAACTTAGACGTTAAACAGTAAGCTGATAAAATACGGATACCTAAAAAAGTATAAAAGTATAAATACCCCCTTAGAATAAACTTTTGTGAAGTCAATATTTTTAAATTAAAAAAAAAGCCTATCTATTGTAAGTCAAGGTCATAAATCAAACGATGTAAGTGCCCGGCAGCTCCCCAGAGTATGTCCCCACAGCCAACAGTGGGGCCACCTTTAGCTGGGTCAGCCAGTGGCTACTTCTGCCCTATAAAGACGTTTTCATGAATTCTTTTACGCCAAACATTTAACAACATACAAGAGACTTTATGAAAGAAGGAGGTAAGTCCTAGATGGAAAACTTGGTTAATCAGATTATTGGCAAAGGAGAAAGAGGGACTAGGCAAGAGGTTTCCAGGAACATTTGAAACGAGCCAGTGTCAGTGCCTCTAGGCTGCAGGTGGGCAGCCCCCATAGTCAGTTTGCACAGCTCCCTCGGGAAACCAGAAGTCAAAAGCAGAGCTTGCTTGTTTGGGCCACGTCCCCAGGCAGACATGTCCCTACAACCAGCTGAGAAAGGTCTGTTTCAAAGCAGACGGGCAGTAGGGTCCAAGTCACGCCAGGTAGGTGGAGCCGTGCAGGTCATGTAGAGTTTCAAACACACCAGAAACATCAGAGAGAACTGCATAGTTATATAGGAAATGAGAGCCGGGAAAAGAGACAAAGAGAGTGAGAGAGGGAAGGAGAGGGGGAAGGGAGGGGGAGTAGGAGGGGAAGAGAGAGAGAGAGAGAGAGACAGAGAGAGAGAGAGACAGAGACAGAGACAGAGAGAGACAGAGAGGAGAGACAGACAGATATGTGATGCACTGTAAACATCTGAGCTTCAATGTGACCCAGAGTGTCAGCTCTAGAAGCCAGGTGCACGGGCTCCCGCCCCAGCTTCCATCCCGGGTGCAACAAAGGCACTGGTGGGCACCAGCTCCCCCATGGGCCCCCAAGTGGGACGGACGAGGCAAAATTTCCATTTCCCATTAACTGGTTTAACAGACCAAGCCAAAACCTAGCAACACTTTTAGGCATTTCTGCAGAGTATAAACATTAGGTAGTCTATCCACGCTTAAAAAAGGGTTACAAACTTCTCTGGCCTGGGACATACAAATTGAGAAGCATTAACTGTCCAGCCGACGAAGCCAGGAGGAAAACCTGGCCTGGAAGGAGGCCTGGCCTCAGAGCAGGTGCCCAGGAAGTAGTAGCAATGTGGAGGCTACCTCTGTCGGCAGCCTTAGCCGAGGTCAAAAGAAACTGCCAACTCATCACACCAGAGGCAGAGCAGCCTCCCTGACCTGAAGATGAGAGCCTGCTGCTCAAAGAGTGGCCAGCAAGCACCCAGACTCCAAGCCATGTGCGCTGGACAGTCAACAGAGCTGCTGCTCCTTCTTCCCATCGAGGCCTGGGTCACTTATCGCAGACTGTGTATGTAGCACCAAAAGCCCTGCCCTTGAAATAACCTTCAGGATTGCATGGCTGGTCAGGAACATCCTGCCTCAGTCCCACGTGACATTTGGAAAGAACAGAGCAGGCCCCCAGAGACAGCCCACCCTCCACCCATGGGCATGGCTTGTCTCTGACAGCTGGGCTGTCTCTCACCACCCACCTCCAAAGCAAAAAAGGATCCACACCCAGATCTCTATAAAGAAATTATCAAAAGCAGGTTTCTTCTCACAGCCAAGCTTCCTGGACATGGCGGTTCACTGTATCTTGGGAAAAAGTAAATCATTTCTTCTGGTGTCAAGACTGTCCTCACATTCTTGAACCTCGTTCTTGTAAAATCTGAAAAATATCAAATGAAGAAAATTGAGAACTCAGGCCTGGCTGAATGCTCTACCCCAGAGACCAGAGCCAGCAGACCTACTGGTGGTAAGAGGACTACTGTTCATGGCCCTGAGGGACCTAGTACGACAGGGCAGGGTCCCAGCTTCAGGTATGTGGACCTCTGCTGCTACACAGGTGCCCCTGCTTGACCAGTGGACCCTTATACTCTTCTCCTCCATCAGACCAGCCTCTACATCCTACCAGCTCCAAGGCCACAGTAGGTCTGTCCACCTCCCAACCCTACCCGTTTCCCGCGGGCAACCTAAGACATGCACTTGACCTTAGGAAACCTTCCCAACTGTGGGTCACTGAGAGCCATGTCCTCTATGTCAGACTCTACAGCCTTACAGGGCCTGCTTCCCTTCCCTCTCTCTCTTGAAGTCTGACTACAGGGCACTGCTCTGCCTCCCTTGCTGACAAGTATAGCCAGCTATGCAGTCACCAAGTTAGCTGGGAGTTCTGAAACCCCATAACATCCTGGGGCCCTGGCAAACACTGCCAAGCCAAACCCACAAAATTCGTTTTCAGTAGCCCAGAGAGCCAGGAGGGCAGTAGGTGAATCCAGTGCCAAGGCAGGATTCTTCAAGGATGTCAACTCCTCCGAGAGGGTCCAGCAGCATCCGGTCCCCCTGTGAGCACTGCTACCCCAGCCTCTGCATCAGTGGAACAAATGGCCTCTCAGGATGTTCAAAGAAGGCCAAGTCCTACTGACGGGCTCCCACCTTTCCACACACCCCAAACATTCCACTTGTCCCCAGCTTGGTACCCACTGGCTGTAGTACCCACTGGCCACTCCTAAAAGCAGACTTAGGGGGTTAACTGGGGAGGGAGGGGCCTTAAAAGAAGCTCCTTCATCCTCAAGGATGCTGGCCACTCCCCAAATCCCCAGGATCCTCTGGGTGACTCTTTCTTCCAGCCAATCTGGGGGCAAGTGTGGCTCCTTTGTGTTCCTGTGGATCCCACAACACCCTGCACTGGTGCCCGTCACAGTTCTCCCCCAGGGCAAGTCACAGCTGAGAGCCTGCTGCCTATGCCAACACGGCTGCTGGGCCTCTCGATGGGATATTCTCAACAAGAGCTATAACAGCAACCACATACCTCATTTTGCAGACTTAAGAGTGAAAAAGGGCAAAAAACAAAACAACACAAAACAAAAAAACCCAAAACACTCAGTGTTTTTTATGTTACATGACTTTTTTTTCAGCACTAGAGACTGAACCTGAGCATCTTCACACTGAGCTATCTCCCCACCCCTTTTTTTTATTTTGATAAAGTCTGTTTTAAGTTGCTAAATTGCCCAGGCTGGGCTCTAACCGTGCTCCTACTATCGCAGCCTCCCAGAGTACTGGGAATACAGGCATGTACCACTATGACCACTAAATAACAATGTTTTTAGTTGGGTATGGTGCCACATGCCTGTACCCTCAGCTTCTTAGGAGGCTAAGGCATGAGGATCACCTGAGCCCTCAAGTTCAGCTCCTTCTTGGACAGCATAGCTAGATCCCATATTAAAAAAAGAAAATAAATTTATTTTGCATGTATTACATTAACATTATTGGCATAAGTTTAATGTATCCATTTACTTCATCTTGAAGGGCCAGATAATAAATATTTTAGGCTTTGAGGCTCAAGAGGCAAAACTAAAGCTACTGTGTAGGTATTTATAATCACTTAACAGAAAAGATCCTTCTTAGCTTGGGGGTTGCACACACAGGCACTGGCCCTAAGGCTAGACCATCTCTTGCTGGGCGCCTTTGGCCTCTGAGACATTGCCTGGCCAGGTGCTACTATGCTCCCAGAATGCTGGATTGGTCCCAGGGCAATGTGGTGAGAACTCCCAGCTTGCAAGATAGATATAGGAGGTGGACTGGCCTCACTCCTGGTCCGCGCCTTCCCATTCCCTCCCTGAGTGTCAGAGAGCCACCAGGTGATCCCTGATAAAGTGATAAAGCAGTCAGATTTGACACAGTCTGGCCTGTAAGATACAGAAGATAAGAAAAGCCTGAAGCAGGGAAGACTGAGGGGTTGTCCAAGCTCAGGCAGATGTGATCACCACCCTGGAACACAACAGCAGTGTTTCAAGGCCAAGGAGGCTTAAGCATCCAAGACAGGCCTCAGGAGAAACAGGAAGGCTGCCCCTCAGGGGCTGGCAGGCTGGAGTGGGCATCACTGCCTAGCCCAGCTGCCTCCGTGTCCACACTGTGAACATTCATGCCTGGCCTGACACAAATGGTTCTCCCAGCAAATGCCCCAATCCTTGTGCCTGTGAAGTCAGTGGAGAAGACACTGACAGAGCCATGCCCAATGTCCAAATGACAACCCAGCTCCCTGCAAGCAAATTTACTGTGATCTACAGCACATCTATCAGAATTCTGTCAACTACAGGCAGGGGACAGGCACATGGGAGGGGTTGGAGGCAAGGGTCAACTGGGGTCATGGGGTCAAGGAGACTACAGTGCCAGGTCAATCTGAAGGGCTACAGAGCTCACCATGACATTTAAACTTAATCTGAATCACTGCCTTGATGCCCCGTCTCCTCGTTGTCACTCTGGTGCAGCAGGCAGCATGCAGCAAGGGAGAAGAAGACATGCCATCAGCCAAGTGTGAGCTGCAGCAGGTGAGGGTTGCCCACCACACCACCACAAAGGAAAACACAGGCTCAGTCACTTCCCAGAGGGCAACTCCCTGCAGTAGCACCTGCCCTGTAACCCCTGGGAAAGTCTTGTCCTACAGGAGGCCTGTTTGGTGGCCTTGGCTCCTGGAACATCCTGTCTAACAGGAGGGCCTTTGTCTACTGGGGCCCAGGGACCACACTGCTGCCTGTTAGGGGGAGGAGCTGAGACTGATCAGCCATGTCAGCACTGACTAAACAATCTGCCAATCAGTCATCCTGTGCAATAGTGCCCCAGAACATGCTGGACCCTGAGACTCATGGTTTTCCTGGCAGACAGTGCTGCATACATATGGGACTTCTTAGAGAGGCTCCTATGTCCTCCACCCCAGGTGCCTTCTGTAGCTGCATTCCTCTATGACAAAGGTGAACCCGAGACTAATCACTCTGGGTGAATTCTAAATACTCTTTTTGTTGTTGTTGTCTTTTTGAGACAAGGTCTCACTATGCAGTTCAGGTTGGCCTTGAGCTCACTTGCAATGATCATCCTGCCTCAGCCTCCCAAGTGCTTGGGATTACAGGCGTGTGCCACCATGCCCAGCCTCTAAGGAATTCTTGAACCTGAGTGGTCTGCCCACATCCTGAATTTGCCTCCTGTGTTGGAGGCAAAGGTGGTGACCTGGGGACAGTCCCTCTTGCTCTCAGGACACTAATGCACAAGGTTCAGTGTGAACAGTCAACAGACACAGGCCCCAGCGTGACTTGCTGCTCTCAGAACTGTGACCTTGCTCCATCCAGCCCATGTGTAGGGTATTGCCAAATCACTGCTCTCTAGATCTGGCCCCCATGATTTCACATGGCTTCCAGAGGTCCCAGACCCTGCCTCAGTTCCCTCCAAGCTGCCTCTGCTCCACTTAGAAGCTGGCGAGGCTGCCCCACTTCAGAGCCAGATATTTCTGGAGAGAGAAACAAGGCCACACTTCCAACAGCAAAGGGACTTGGGGTCGTGCCTGGTGTTTCCTCACAGCACAGAATGCCTCCCTTCTGCAGCTGACAAGCCACTGGAGGAAATGGGCCCTGGTGAGCTGTGTTATGAAAACTGTAAGCTCAGAAATAAAAAGCTTTCTAAAAATAAAACAATTTATAAAAGAGGCCTGTCATGCTCAAAGACAGAAAGTGGTGTTTCCCTTCAACTCAGCTCAGGGTCTCTCAGGGAGGTGGAGGGCACCTCCTGGATTCTAGGCCTGACAGGGAGACCTGGCACCAGACCCCAGTTTTCCCAATCTGCTGCACAGCATTGTGGGGCTTGCCCAACTGTAAATCATCCTCAGCCTTGAGATGGCAGTGGCGCAAAGGCCAGTGAGCACAGAGGGCCAGGAGCAGGACACAGGAGGCTGAGGCCAGACCATCAGTCTACCACACAGACATACCTCACTTCACGGCAGTGAGATACTGCCACAGCATGGCCTGGACACACACAGAATGACTCTGCCAATCAGTTCCCACAGTTGCCCAGCCATCCTGGCCCTGCCCCAAAGGTGGCCAAGAAATGCTTATAAGGGATCTGGGTAGGTGGTTACTGGCCAAAGGTCTGGTTGCCATGGTTCAATGCCTGGTTCAATGTCCTAGGTTAAAATCCAGGCTGGCTGGGTGTGGTAGCCCATATCTGTAATCTTACCTATTTGGGAACCTGAAGCAAGAGTATGGTAACTGAGTGAGACTATCCTAAAACAAAAAAATAGAGCTGTGGTAGGGCATGGTGGCATATACCTGCAACCCAGGACTTGGGAGGCTGAGGCAGGAGGATCACTGCAAGTTCAAGGCCAGCCTGGGCTACATAGTGAGTTCAAAGGTAGCCTGAACTACAAAATGAGACCCTGTCTCCAAAATTAAAAAATAAAAAATGAACAAGCTGGAGTTGTAGCTCAACTCTCCCTAGCTTCAATCCCTAGTAACACACACACACACACACACACACACACACACACACACACACACACACACACAGACTGGGTGGAGATGTAGCTCAATAGCAGAAAATTTCAGAGCACGAGGCCCTGGGTTTAACCCCTAGCTCTGCAAAGAGAAAGAAATGAAGAAAAAAAAAAAGAAAGAAGGGGAAATGGGGAGAGGAGGGGCAAGGTTAGGCCTCTAAGCTCCAAGTTTGGCCTCTTCTTATTTCACTCACAATATCCTCAGCAACACTATGGCCCTCACCAGCTCATCGTGTGCCCAGGGCTCAGGCCACAGCCTTGGCTCAGCCAAATCCCACTATAGATCTTTGGGTCACCCAAAGCTGGCTGCAGAGCTCTCCAGCCACTCTATAGCTCTACCATTTGGGTCTCTGATAGCCCACATGCAGAGGCACCTGTGCATCTGTCTACCTAGGGGCCTTAGCTGGAAAAACATGCCTAGAGGAAATGCCACCAAAATGATCACATGTGGGTAGGCCATGGGGTTAACCTAATAAAAGCTAATAAAGCAGAACAAACCCTATATTGCCACTACCCTCCTAGTGGACAATGAGCCTGGCCCCCACAGAGCAGCAGAGCCTGACCACTGGATGTGGTGGTGCCTGACTATAATCCTAGTACTTAGGATGCTGAGGCAGGAAGAACGCTGCAAGTTAGAGGCTACGCTGGGCTACACAGTGAGTTTAAGGCCAGCCTGAAGTACATAGTGAAACCCTGTCTCAAAAACAAACAAAAAAACCAGAATAGTAGCACTATGGGATACTCTCCTCCATACACTATACATACTTCAAGGACCAGTGCATGTGGCTAAAGTGGTTGCTGATGCTGAGAAACCACCTCAGTTTAGGGGCTGTCACCTCTCCCCTAACAAGGCCTGTCTCCTGGGAACAAAGGGCCCCTAGGTCCCCTAAGAAAGAAACCCACAGTGGCAGATAAAACACAAGATGTCTCCGCCACAAGTCTGGGGAACATTTTCAGGAACAGCTCTTTTAGTGTGCTGAGGAAGCACAGACCAGCATCTGGTGACAGAAACAGCTGCTTGGCCAAATCAGGCAGCCTTGCGGATGACCTTGAGCCCCCTGGGAGCCAGGTGGTTGTAAGCCTAGCAGAAACAGTAAGCTACAATGAGACAGCACCAGGAAGCACTTTCAAAGCACAACCTGTTGAAAGTGTGCCTACCGGGGGGGGAGGCTGGGAGCAGGCCCTTCTGCACTCACCTTGGCCTTCTCACTGGGCTCACTGGCTGTGCCATATGGAGTGTTGTGCAGCTCCTTGGAGACCACACAAAGAAACTCGGCCTGGTCTTCATTTCCATAGTTGTATGAGGAGCCGATGCTGACCAGCTAGAAGGGAGAAACAACCAGGGTCACATGCACCCCATCAAGAAGACTGTGGCAAAACCCAGGGTTCAGGAGTCAGTGGTGGCTTTCACTTCAGCTTTGATGAGCTGGAGGAAGCAGACCTCCGGTACCCTCGAGAGTGCACCTGTGCCACCTCTCAATAACAACATGCCAGGACAGGTTCTGCCCTATAGGTTGCTAAGCTGCTCTCAAGAGTTCCTGGTCAGGTCCACAGGGGACACTGACTCATTACCCCAGAGACTGCAACAGACAGGAGAGGCCAGATCTTGTCATGTACATCGTGAGGTCCTGCTTTTGGCAACCTGCCTGTCCCCACAGCCACCAGCAGATCCAACCTGTGAAGCAGGACCTCTGTGGACTGACCGTACTTCCCAGCTCAGGGTAGGTAACCCCAGAACTATGCCCAGCAATGGCAGGAAGGCAAGCAGAAGTCAGGCAGCTCTGAAGGCCAGGATGGCTGGGCAAGAGCTGTGGTTCCTGGACCTTGACCTGTGTGCTGGCTGTGCCCTCTGGGCACACCCTTGCCACTACAACCTGCCCTGCAGCCTTCAGGACACCAGGCCAAAATGGAGCAGCACTGGGGCCTCAGACTGGGCTACTGCTCCAGCCATACATCTGGAACAGAGCTACCCCACAGGTACCAAGTGCTTTGTGTTTTTAAACACAAAATTAATTAAAAGGAAACTTACCAACACAATAAAAATGCTAATGGCAGAATTACTGAGCCAGAGAGGAATCAAAACATTGACCTGCCTGACCTAGCCTGTATACCAAATCCAAGGTCAACACAGCAGTCCCCACAGTGAGTGGTCACCCCTGCAGCAGCTGGGGCCCCAGCAGGTGAGGAGACAGGAGGATGCTGGCCGTGGCCCAGGCAGTGAGGTTGCGGGGGCACTGATGAGGGAACACATCTCCCCACATCTGCCACAGACTCTGGCCTCATCACTTGCTGAGTAACCCTGGGTTGGATCCGATCACCTCACAAGGACCTGGCCCCCAAGCCTGTTTATTCATCCACACCTCTGGCCCTGCTTTGGGGAAGAAGTGTTCATTATTAGCCTACATGGCTCAGGGGCTTGGAGTTTTTTGTTTGTTGGTTGGTTGGTACCGGGGGTCAAACTCAGGACCTTGTGCTTGCCAGGCAGGTGCTGTGCCACCTGAGCTATATCCCTAGTGTGGTTTTCTTGCTTTGTTTTGGTTTGTTTTTTTGAGACAGGGTCTTGATGTGTAGTCCAGGCTGGCCTTGAACTCACTACATAGCCCAGGTTGGCCCCGAACTCAGTGATCCTTCTGCCTCAGTCTTCTGAGTACTAGGATTACAGGCATGCACCACCACTCCCGGCTGGCACTTGGGGCTTTACCAGGATAAACTGGTGGTATAGAAATGTCCCCAGGGATGACTGTTCAAAGGTCAGAATCAAGGGAGAGGAGGTGTGTCCTTTGGGATGGGTCTAGGATTATCCCAGACAGCTGGGGACAAAGTCCTGAAGCCAGTCTTGGGAAGGGATACTTTTCCCATTTCCTGCAAGAAGTCACAAGACAGCAAAAGAGGACACAGTGCACCAATTTCAAATAAGGACAAACCAGGTCACAGATCTAGAATGGATGACAGCAGCTTCTCAGCATCTGAGTCCTTCTTGGGTCACATGCCAGGGACAACATGGACTCTGGCAGTGAGCCACACAACTCAGCCCACAGGTCCCCACACCTGAGCCCTCAGGAGGGCAGGGACATGAGAGCCACCTGTGTGTACCCAATTCCTGGCCAGTGATGCTCTTCAGGGCAGCCCACACACAGAGGGCCCAAGGCAGCATACAGCAGCCCCTGGAAGGTGGTACAGCTCTCAACAGTTGCACCTCCATGCCCAAACCCCATAGTCACTGTGCTGGCACAGGGTGAGGGCTGGCCGAAGGACCCCAGGACTTAAGGATACCAAGGGACCATCACCAGGAATGTCCTGAGGCAGAAGCCTCAATGGTCCCTCGAGTGGCAGCCCTAGTCAGCAGCCTGTCACCTGCTCAAACTTCCAGCCGTCAGACATGGTGGACACCATCTGTGTGAGCTCTTCCTCCTGGCACTGCAGCACGCGGTACACATGCTTCACGGGTACCTGCAAGGACAAGGGCCACACCTCACACCCAAGCTCAAGGACCCTGCCCATGTCCCAACAGGTTGCAGTGCCCAGCGCCACTCTGCACACACTCATACAGCTAACTTGCACCTCAAGAGCTCCCTTTCCTTTGCTACTTCCTCATCCCCCCTCCAATATTCCTACTTAAAAAAAAAAAGTCACACTCCTCAGAGCACCTGTGGTGAACATTTGCTTCTATTCCACATGGGACCATACTGGTCTCAGTGCTGATCACTGGAAAGGACCCAGCAGAAGGCTTGGATACTGTGCTCCTACACCTAGGTAAAGGTCTTGTCACACATCACAGCTCAGAAACAGCCCTAGCATCCCAGGACCACCAAACCTGCCTCCTGGAGCTCCAGAGGACTTCCTGCACTGGGTTCCAATAGCTTTAGTCCTGGACAGAGGCAGGCAAGCGAGACCAGGGTCTGTTCTCCCAGAGCTGCTCCAACAGGAGGTGACAGCACATACAGAACAGATGAGGACCCAGGTCATGCTGGCATTCTGCAGTGACTTGTGCCAGTGACATACAGTGACTAAGCCATATGCTACCCTTGCTGTCCCTGGGTGCTTTCATCTGCTAGTGAACTGCAGTGGCTGCCACACGTTACTGTAAGGCATGGCCCTGCACACAGTCTCTCCCACCTCACAGGGTGGGCAGAGAAACTAACATAGGAAGGTTCAGTGCAGTCCAGGTCATACAGTTGTGGCATGGAGGATAAAAAAAGGCCAAGTGTACAAATGAGGGGACCAAGGAGTGCCCCAGACCTGTCTACTGCCCTGCAGACAAGGAGGCTCTCCCTCGGCCTTGCACTGGTGCTGAGCAGGTTCCAGCAAAGGAGAAAGGGCTGGGGGCAGGTCACATGCACAACTCTCCATTGGTCTGATGATTGACAAGACAGTAAATGGTCAGGCCATTAGTACTCCTCTCTTTTTCTTTTCTTTTTTTTTTTTTTTTTAAAGTGCTCCTCTTTACAGGATAGAGAGCTCTGGCTCAGGGTTACCAGCTGCACAGTGGGAAAGCCCATTACAGGGATGCGGCAACAGAGGGTTGAAAACAGAGCACTACTAAAACCTACTTCACCTTGTTCTCCTGGATATGGAACCAGCCTGTCTAAAAGGCAGACCTGGCACAATGACAAGACCAATGCCTGAGAATGATTGGTGCTTCCTTCCCAGAAGGTGCTTCCCAGATAGCACTAGGCAAGGGCATCAGCAGGACCACTAACTATGGCTATGTGTGATTGTCCCCAGGAGGGCTGACAGAAAGCATATGACACCACTCTGAGTGCAATCTGACCCTCCTCAGGAAAACCCAAGTCCTCCTGGCACCTGCACAGATCCCAGTCCCTGCTCTGTCCAGCTCCCAGCTCCCAGCTCACCACTGCCCTCCCTCCAGCCATAGTGGCCACAAGCCATTTGCATTTGCTGCCCCTGCCTGGATGCCCTCCCATCAGAGGCCTCCAGATCTCCCATTCCCATTAGTAGGCTTTCTCTGCTCCAGTGTTCCCCATCCCTGACTTCATGCAGCTACCTATTCCTTTTTCTTAAAGGAGGAGAGGTTTACCTTGGCTTACATTATCTTTCTCTGGAGAATGGGTCCCTGAGCTGGGAAGAGGCACATGGGTCCTGTTTGGCACGCTGCAAGAGGGGCTCAAAGGCACCAGGGCAGGAGAGTGTGGTCCACACTCAGCAGAGAAGGGACAGCTGTGTCCACACACTGGGCTTGAAAAGTTCCTACATATAAGTCACTGCCTCACCTGTGATGTTTTGCTGTCTCGTTCTCTAATTTTGTCCTTTACAAGTTTTATTAGTGAGGTGATATTGTAAAACTCTGCTTCCTCCAACACTCCTGGAATAGAGGAAAATAACAGGTTTTCACCACATCAAAGAATAAACATTTCCCACCTGTCCCCACCCCATGGCCAGCCCATTCTGTCTTCACAGATCTGTAGCTCACAGTGTTCACCAGAGGCAAAGGGCAAAAGTGAGGGACAGTGATGTTTACACTCTGGACATTATCACTCCAGGTGATGTGCAGAGCAGACAAGCTGTGCTCATCGCATAGACACTGGGGAGGCTTCTCCTTGCCAGCCTAGAGACCCGAATCCTATGTGATAGGCCAGGACATCAGACCCTGGTATGTGTGTCTGAGTCACTCACACCTCAGTTTCCCTATTTAAGTGAGGGCTGGCTGGTTGAGGGCTGCTCACTGCTCTATTGCCTTTCTCCAAAGCTTGCCACCAGCAATATTCCACACTCAGGAACTCAAAACATCCCAGAAACCTACAGTAGATTCCCAGGGCCCTGCTTCAGATATTTCTTGTGGGTCCCAACGCCCTGCCTCATTTCTTCAGCCCCCCTAAAGGAAGCCATATGTAGGCCACAACAGCTCTGGACAATGCACAGTGATGTGAGAAAGATGGAGAGTTATGGGAAATGAGGCCTGGAGTTGTACACTCCAAACAGGGCAGGAGGAAAGGGTATCCCACAGAGCAAGCTGCCGCTGGATATGGAATAGAAACATCCTCATAGCCTCAGGCAGAGCCATGTCTCCATGTTTAAGCTGAGCAACAACCCAGATGACAGGTCAGTACCCTGGGAGGTACATCAGTACAAAAGGATGATAGGGCCAGAAAAAAGAAATGAAGATAGGGAAGGTGCTGAAGGAAGAAAACCTGCACACTCTGGTCTAGACCAACTAGTCCAAGAAAGGGGTTAGAATCTTCTAGGGCATTCTAGAAATAACCACTGGCTTTTCTTTTTTTAATTTTTTTATTTTGAGACAGGTCTCACTAAGATGCTAAGTTGCCCGGGCTGGGCTTGAACTTATAATCCACTTGCCTCAGCCTCCTAAAGTGCAGAGATTATGGGCATGCACCTGGCCCTGCTGCTCTGAGCTAACACCAAGATACTATATGGGACAAGACAGCCTGGGCCCTGGTGCCAGGCAGCCCACATGTGGGAGTGTGTCTTGTGCTCTGTGACCAGGCAGGAAGCAATGCAGTGGCCAGCAACAACAGGCAGAGACAGGGTAACAGTATGGAATGTCTGCCAATCCAGAGCTGTCCTGGAAGAAGAGCAGGCAGGGACCCCTAAGGCTCACCATGGGTGTATCTGTGACACATGGCCTCAGACTATGGCAGCCAAAACAGCTGTGAAAAAAGAGCCCATCCACACCAAAAGCACTAACTAAATACTTGGAAAAGCGTGTCTATAAAGTGACGCATGGCCACAGCATCCTGACAGGCCACTGGGCCTCACCCCAAGAGGCCTACAAAAATCATGACAGGACAGCCCAAGAGCCATGGGCCTTGTCTTCAGAGGAAGCACAGGGCCTTGGCACCCAAGACTCTAGCCCAGCTACAAGCTCAAAGCATGTTGCTTGGCACATGACTCTGGCTCAAGTGTCTACACAGAAGTCAACCAACCAGCACCTTCCTGGTACCCAGTCCCAAAGCCAAGTTCTCTGTGCAAAAAAGACAATGTACCTTCCTCTGCAAGATCTTTGTTAATAACCAGCTTTCCATGTCTCAAGTAGTTCAACACAGGTCCAAAGTAGGTGGGGTCTCTGTCGATTAAATAGGCACCTGTTTCGTCCTACAAAAAAATAGAACAGCGTCAATTCTGCAGAGTTGCAATTCCTGCAACTAGACCAAGGGCAGGTCATTTCAACAGAACTAACAGTGGGGAAGGGGAATAGTTTAGTGGTACAGCACTTGCCTTGCATGCCCTGAGTTCAATCTCCAGCATTCAAAAAAAAAAAAATCTTGGGGCTAGGGCATAGCTCAGCAGTACAGCATGTGCCTAGTACAGCAAGGCCCCAGGCTGCATCCCAAGCACCACCTCCACCTCAAAAACACACACAAAAAAAAAAAAACAAAAAAAAAAAACCACCAAACCCAGAGCAGTAGTCACACTTGAGTTATCCACAGCTCTTTAACCCCAAAACATGCTCATGTGCATGGTACCTGGGGATTCCAAAGCACACTCTAGCCAGGCATGGTGGCGCACTCCTGTAATCCCAGCACTTGGGAGGCTGAGGCAGGAGGATCGCTGTGAGTTTGAGGCCAGCCTGGGATACACAGTGAGTTCAAGAGCAGTATGAACTACATAGGGCCTTCACCTCAGAGCCTCCAGGCCCCACAGCAATGACCTAAAGCCCTGGCTTTCCTCCACCAAAGCTCTCCCCTGGCAGGTCAGCCCTGGGCTCAACTTCTGAGGAACACTTGGGCCTTTTCCCTCCCATCTTCCTCCTTCTCAGGTTGGGCTACACAGGTGCAATGCCAGCACCAAGAAAGCACCTTTGGGCCGCTGAGCCTGAGGCCACCACCATGAGAAGAGCCTCATTTTCCACTGATGGCAGACTCAGGGCTTTCCCAGTGACTGTGACCACTGAGAGAGCCCTCATCTGTGGCCAGTGGTGTGTGGATGGAGGATGCAGGCACTCAGAAAGTACTCCTCCTGCACCTGACCAGTCTGCTCCTCCACTGAAGTGATGGCTGGCCAGCTGAAGTCCCCCAGAGGGCTGATACCCCCACCTGCCAGGAGGTGTACATGCCCTCCCAAGACCCAGGACAAGCACAACCCCATGCAGATATATCACACCACATGGCCCTGCTGTAACAGGCATGCAGGATGAAAGAGCCACAGACCTGGCTGGGGTCATAGGGCATGGCACTGGGACCACTGAAGGTGAGCAATGTACAAATGCTACAAGGACAAATGCTACAAATGCTAAGGGGTAAGGCAGTGAGTTTCTGTCATTCCCCACCATAGACCAGGCCCGTAACCAGCTGCATGTAATTTGGGGGCTGTTCAGTCTGACAAAGCTTGGGTACTACAGTCCAGTAACATGGTAATAAGGGGCAACACCTCCCCTGGTTGGTGCCTAGTACCTGTTTCAATAGATGCCCTGGGCAGACAGTTGAGATTGAGGCCTCCACTGAGGTGACAGCACCGCCCCAGGTTTCTCAGCAACAAGGCCCACAGGTATGTGCTGGGGAAGATGACTCCACAGATCAAGAGAGCTGGCTCAGATCCTGAGGTTGCTGTGGGGCCCTTCACAGGCACAGGGCACAGAATGCTGTGCTCATACCCCTACCACCACCCCCACAGAGGAGCAGCTGCTAGCTGAGTCCTGAGGACAGCACTGGGCATCTCTGCAGCAAGAGACTCCTAAATCTCATGGATGCACCAGAGCCTAGAGGTAGGGAGGCATCCTGGGCACAAAAGAACACACCCATTAGGGTCCTTCTTAATGGACATCAACTTCTATCATTTAGGTGGTGAAACTTACTGGTTTCAAAGGTTCTTTCCCAATGTCCAGACACGAAACTATGAAAATCTATTTTTAGATTAAAGAGACAAATCTGAATTCTACGGCTCACATGTGGGGCATAGAGCCCTTGTGCCCCAAGAATCTCTGTACCCCTTTCTCTCTCAAGGCGGGCCCTGCTCCACCCATGGTAATGTCCCAACCCCACACAGACCCCTGACTTCACCCCATTTAAGGACATGCCGCAATGGGCAAGCAGAAACACTGAAATGACACCCAGGATTTGTAGGCAGATTTATTTACGTTCATGGGCACTAATCAGGATCACTCCCAGAATATCAGGCCCTGATCTCTGGTGGTCTAGGGCTTATATGGGATAAGCAAGCAGGAAGTACAGAGGCAGAATGGCTTGTCAATTGGGGATTGACTTACACAATGTGCATCATAGTCTTCATAGTGACCAGCTATGCATCACAGTGACCAAGCATTTCTAAGAGACCAGAAGCAACTGGAACTGGAACAGGAACTATTACCTGGGCAACTATGAAACTGAAGTATACTGGGGGTGGGGAGGGAGCATTTTCTGCTACAATGCCAGCCTCAGTGGCCCAGGCTTCCCCACCTTGCAGTTCTGGCCTTTATTCCTCTAGGCCTGGCCCTCCAGCCCTTCTTCTCACCCTCTGGACTTTGGTTCTCTAAGCAGGGGCAAAGGACCAGAGGGGCCAACTTCCACAAAAAGGGTGCTTTCACACTGCCCCATTCCTTGTGAAGAATGGCCACCACTTCCCACAAAAGGGCTAAAGACTGAAAAGGACCAGTGCCATCATAGTTTAGGTTGAGGACTCCTCTGTGTAACTTGTGCACATTGTCAGCACTCATGGCTTGCTGCTGCCTCAACAGATCACTGGAAGGAGGTGAAGATGGAAAGGGCAGAGAGGGACAGGGCTCACCCTTGTCCAAGACACCCCCAGGGGGCCTCCCTGGTCAGGCCGGCCACGGCCTGAGAGTCAAGCCTCAGTACGTCAGCCTATGGGCTCAAGACCAGACCACCCCACACCCCAGTTTCTGTTTTCTCAGTTACCCCATAAGCAGAACAGAAAGAATCTCATGGGCAGCTATAATCACCAAGGAACTATAGGGCTCTACTGCCCACGTGTCACATCTACTGATGGTTTTAGGCACTGCAGCAGCACATAGGTAGTGAGCAAGGACCTCTTAACAATCATGACAATGTAGGCATCTTGCTAGGCACTGGGACCCAGCAGAGGAGGAGGAAGTTTACTGAGTGCCACTGATATGCTGGGTATGCAAGACACAATGGCAACCCAGACCTCCCAAGCTAGAGAGGAAAAAGGTATGGGAGAGGAAGAGGGACAGGCAACTGAACAGTAACAGAGAAGTAACAGCAGCAGGACAAGTTGGCAGGTCAGAAAGAGGCACTGCACAGGCCAGAGGGGAACCAGCTGCCTGAATAATCATGAGCACTGGGCAAACTGGCACTAACACTAGGCTTTTAAACCTTGGAAAAAGGGGAGAGGAGCCTGGGCTGTGTTCAGGGCATGAGCAGCGTCGGATCAGCTCCCAAGTCTCAATGGGGCCAGCTTTTTCACTGAATGTGGTCTTTAGGATACACCTTGTTGGTGGATACTTCTAATAACTCCTACCCTAGGTCTGGCCTAGCCCAGAGCACCTTGGCCAGGGAAGGGGCACGGACACAGCTATGCACAGGATGTAGGGCTATATCAGGTAAACTCACCACTGGGGTGATAGTACCTTCTCAGGGGGCCTGACGTCAGACCTGACTGCAATATGAACTTTTATCTGTCCCCAGAGCTGGCACACCCTACTTTGGGGCTAGAGACTTCGAACATCCTGGGTTGCACACACTAGAAGTGGCAGAGAGACGCCTGTGTGCCTAATACCTGGCACCAAGAGCAAGTGGGTAATGTGTGGGGACCCCCACCTGTATCCAGGTTAAGAGCCAACTTTAAAGAACCAGTCTCCTGGAGGCTTCAAGAAAAAATAGACTGAAGGAGTCTAAGACATGTATAGCAACCTTGCTGGAGCCAAGGTTGGATGGAGAGCAGGAAGAGCAAGAGCACTCTAGGTCCATCTATCAGCACAACCCTATGCACCATGTGGGCCTGCACCAGGACCCTGGGCTGCTGAGGTATAGCATACAGAGATGCTACAGAATGTTGTGGAAACAGCAAGTTAGTGCTACCTCAGAAGGAAGGCAAGGATGACACGCAAATTAATGAAGCATTCCATATTTTTATAGACATTGTGAAACAAAAGGAAAATGCTTAAGGGTAAAGGGCAACTGGGATGTGGGAAAAGAGAAGGGAAAGAAGGAGAAATTTTGTATGTATGTATATACAGGATAGTTAACATAGTTGAACTACTGTCTTCTATTTCTTTGCTGAAAGAAACAGTTAATGATTCCTTAATTGATCAATATTGCATGTCTCTGTTTTCGTAAGAAACCACTTTGAAGGTATCAATATGTAATACAACAAGCATTGTTAATTTCCTACCACTTTGTTTGTAACTCTGTATTGTTTGTGTTTGTTTGTTTGTTTCCGGTACCGGGAATCGAACTCACGACCTTGCACTTGCCAGGCATGCACTGTGCCGCTGAGCTGAATCCCCAGCCCCTGTATTGTTTGTATTGTTCTTTTGCTATTTTGTAAATGGTTGTCTGTTCGTTAATGTTTTCCTTCTTGTATTTTTAAAATTACAAAAAAAAAAAAGGAAGGCACCTGGAAACAGAAGGAATCAGGCTCAGTAAGGAGGCCTTAGGCAAGTAAGGCAGACCACTATGAGTATAGGACCCACAAGCAGGGCTGCAGAGCTTAGAGGGAACAGCACATGCAGGGAGTGATGCTTACTGGCTTGGGGATAAACCACCTAGGGCTCAGGCTCACACTGAGCCACTTAACACAGGAATTACTCCCTCTGGTGAGGCCTCAGTTTCCCCATCTGTCAAATGAGACATTTAGCGAAGATAACCCTGGCCCTCCTCCTGGTTCCTTCTTGGGAGTGTGCCACATTCTAAGGGGAAGGAAACCACGTGCCTGGCCAATGAGACAGGTATAGCGAACTCAGGAGCAAAGAGCATCTGGCCAGGATGGCCCTCTTGAGGCCCCACCTATACCAGGCCTCTGTCTAGGAAGGGATCAACTAAAGCAGGGCCCCAAGTGCCAGGAACTAAGCCCACCTCAGATGATCCCTCCAACATCTTTCGGCTTATCCTAAAATTCTATATGAATTTTACACTTGAGCCCCATCCTTTTTTGAATATAAAAGTGTTTTCTTTAAA